CCTCTTGCAGACACATATAAGTCCCTTTTTAAAATGAAAAATGTAATTGAAGGTACCACACCGTCAGGGGCAGCTGCACTTTAATTGCTTAGTTGACATCATTAAATGTCCATTTTGTTTTATCCTTTTTAGTGTTTGGCAGAAACTGTAATGTATCCATCAGTAATGTCTGCTCATTATTTGTAATTGCCAGATGTTTAGTTAGGTAATGATGGTAAAAATCCTGAATTGTTTAGCTTTCACTGAAAAGACTGTTGTTTGAGCTCCAAAAATAGATAACATTATCAGCCTTTTTCTGACATTCAATTATATACAGAACCTTTCTCTCAGCCTGATAGCAAAGTGACAGATCACAGACCAATGTGGCTGTCCATGAATGTTGTTATTCAGTGTGCTTCTGTTGTAGTTGAATGGTTGCATAACCTGTAGAACCACCATTGCCATAAAGCTGTAGAAAAATGAAGGTGCAGAAAGCACTTTATTTTTCCAGAACACAAAAAAGACCTGATTTAAGTTTGACACCAAGCAAGCAGCTATGCAAAAACATAAAAAAAAAAATGTACCCCTGTCTTCGCCACGCGCTCCCATCCAAAAACCTGAAAATTCTCAGATGGCCGCAAAGCATCTTGGGGCAGGCGCAGGCGCAGTTCAGATTTTCGGCCTGGAGACGAGGAGAGACACAAGGTAGGGCTATGGACGCGTGCACCCGCATGCAGACACCGTGGGACAGGAAGTGCCAGCAAGGACAGAGGAGTCAGCGCTGGAACGGAGACCCGCAGCAGTGCTGGAGGGACAGATGAAAACAACAGGAAAGAAGATCGGATTAAGAAACATCATTTAAGGTAAGTGCTTTTATTAACATTGGGGGAGGGAAAAATATTTGTGACTTTAATGTCACTTTAACATACATACAAATATATACTACATCAGATCTTAATAATCAAACAATGATTGCAAAATCAATATTTCATAATGTGCTCTTATCTAAAACCTATAAATGTTCTTCAAGTGCTTTACATATCTGTGCAGGAAAACAGTCTCTCGTCAATTTGCAAAACAGCCTTTCTCCAGTGTGCTGATGTCTCCATTGGCAAACAAAAGTTAAGCTGTGCTCCAAAGATCACCCTTCCCTAACAACACTCACCCTTATTTGGACATAGACTCACCCTTTATGATGGACCTCATTTGTTACACACAGTCAAGCAGCACTTAACACTTTGTCCTCCAAGGAATACATCACAACATGGTCCAGATTACACCTCCATTACCATCAAGGTATCTTATAAGACAGATATCAACAAGACAAAACCACAATTTTTCCTGTTTTATTTCAAAGCCTTTAATACACACTTATAAGGTTAGTGCACTAAAACTGTGCACTAGGATGATCTTGCATCTTGTGTGCAGCTTTTATACTGTTTCAGGACTGTTGTTTTTTTTTCCAGGGACTGCTAGAATTTAACTCATTGATGGGACCTTTATTCATGGTTTCTTTCATGTACTGTAAATCCCCCTGTGCATTCACCCATGGGATCTTGGCACTTCAAAAACTGCCCTTTGAATCAATCAGGGATATCCCCCCTTCCTGCCAAGACATTCTCTACTGAGTCTGTGAGTTCTGCTTGGGATTTTTGGACTTCGGAACTGTTTCCTGGATTTGCAAGGCTGCCACCTAGTCTTCTGTTCACACATTTTTTCCCAGATGGATGTTCAGGCTTCATCTGATGTAATTGTAAGGTCCTTCTGGTGGCTCTTTAAGCTGCTGGCAGCCCCAAGTCCTGTTGCTCTTTGACCTGTCGGTTTCCATTTTGCTGTTGCCCACCCCTCATTTTGTTTATTTTGTCCCAATGGTCTCTGAATCCTGTGTCCCTCAATAAATGAGAAACTAAATTGGATTTTTGTACTTACCATTACATCCATTTCTTGGAATTCATTGAGGCAAACAAGTCCCGCCCCTCTGCGCCTGTAATCTTGCTCTTGGCATTGCTTGCCTACAAAACTATACCGCTGGTCACTGTTTATTTGTTTGCCAGTGTCCAAATTCTACTGTAGGTGACAGTATAACTCGATGATCTGTAAATTCTGTGCCCCTCAAATAAAAGGATGTTGTGCAAGTTTGGCTTTTGGAACCAATTCAAACTTACCACAATGCCCCTGCTCTATGTGCATTGTGGTGCCAATAATTATGAATGATACCCGAACATACTGTATAGTAAAGGATAACGCACCACAGTGCACTACATTGCAAAAATGGACATGTGCTTTTCTATGTCCATTATGGTGTATTTATAATGAATAGGCTGCCTTAACAGAGTGCAAATAACTTTATTAATGAGATGTGAGTTAGTGAGGCTACAGAGTGGGGGGAATTTATCAAAACTATACTTTTAAGCAAGTCATGTGTAACATCCTCCCTTACCCTCTCCATTCTAAATATTGTCCCTGGTACCTGAGATCAGGAGCAATGGCTTTTGGTCTTCTTGGGAGCTGTTGTAAAGAATTCTGATAAGCACCTTGGACTCTTTCACAGATCTTTGTATTTGTTAGTTGTTTATTTAGCATTGAATGTTAAATTTACTGGTCATTTAAGAAATCCTGTACTGAGAAAATATGTTGACATCTATTCCTGACCTCTCCTTCTGGCATTGATAGTCGCTTGGCTGCTAATCGAATTGCTGCAATTCTTTGAGGCACTGGCACAGAACAAGTTTGCAGAGTTTTGAGTTTCCTCTATGTAACTCGCATAGCATTGAAGTTACAGATGACCAATGACATATTGTTTTCAGAGGGAGGTCAGCAAAGGAAGCCTTCTTATGTATTTCAGTACATACATCCTTAAATAATTGTGCAATATATTTGCTTGCATGTTTCGCAAAAAGAAATCTTCGCACATTTCGCACACCTGTGTTGATTGACAGGTCTATTTTATCCAGCTCGTATCCAGTTGGCTTGTAAGGTCTGTAGAGTAATGCTATGTTATTAACCATGCTATGCTTGGTGTGCCCTGAATAACATTAGTTATTAGCCAAACCTATATTATGACCCATTAAACAATTTACTTGGAATATTCATTTACATCCATCCATCTCAGAAATATGCCATTGAATTTAAAGGAGAACTATTGGGTTAGGGCTTTTCCCCATAGTTCTCCGAAAGGTAACGGGAGGACACAAACTAGCATCCTCCCGTTACCCAAAGCTCAGTATACCGCGAGCCGCAGCGGTATACTGAGACGCCGCAGCTGAAACGGATCCCGACAATTATGTCTGGATCCGCCCAGCTGCGTGAGTGACAGCTGGCTCTGCCTATCTAGAGGGACCCGCCCCCTCCCCCATACGTTCCGCCAGTCAGGATCGGACAGGGGAGGGGAGAATACAGTCACTCCCCTGTCATGACTCTCTGCAGTGACAGGATCGAGAAGTGAGCGAGCGCCGGTATGTGTTCGCTCACTTCCCGATCGACTGAGCCGACCTGTGACAGTTTCATTGTCACAGGTCGGCTCAGATTATGAGGCTGAGTGAAAAGCACTCACCTCATAATTCTCCTTTTAATTGCCCAAAGAGTTTAGCAGGGTTTTTCTGCAATTAAGTATATACTATTATTGGCTAGTGATTTTATCAATGTAAATAGACACATGCTTTAGATTTACTTTAACTGATTAACTGCCCTGACAATAAAACAAGTATGTGAAACAGTATAGAGAAATATATAGAGAAATCTACCCCTAGTCTGTTGACGGAGCATTAGGACACTGATGCGTCATCCTTGTGCTCATCCTGTGTGTAAGTAAGCTTTCAATGATAGACTGACATCACTTTGCACTGCTGCAGGGCTTAAATGCAAGTATTTATACCATTTAAAAATATTACAATTCAAACCCCCCCCCCCAATGTAGAAGTGTTTATTTTAAAGTAAAATGTAACGGTATAGTATTATTAATATTTCTTTTGACCTGGAATTTTCATGTGCAGTCATTTCTAGTAACTATGCTACAAGAAAAACTCCTGACAAGAGAGAGAGAAAAGAGTAAACGTGCCACAAGAGAAACAAACATGAAGAATCTCATTGCTGACCATGCACAAATCCCCTGCTGATGGGAGCCACTTGGAATGGATGTCACTCTTGTGATATCCACATTTGTTCAGTTTTTATCTATCTTGTGATTGGGGGAAAAACGGAAGTAACTGACCCATGTTAGGTCTATAGGCAGTCAGTAAATCATGTAAGCACACATGTTTCTGTTTATATCTGATTTACCTTGATTCCGTTGAGGTTCGCCAAATGTAATTGGTGGTAATCTGATGTAAATGGACGCATGTCTAACTCCCCATAGGCCATCATACATATGAGGCCAAAGAGCGTAAACAGAGAGAAAAAAGGTGGAGACCAAATCCTTGTGCTGCTAAAATAGTAGAGTTAAATATTCAAAGCAAGGTGGAACTTTCAGTAACTTAACAAGTTTAATGAATATATTCCTGATATGTCTTAATATACCGTAATAGTATAAACATCTTTTATTACTAAAAAGTAGTAATTGAGCCCCAGTCAAGTGCTTTGCCTAGGCTGAGAAGATGCCATCAGATTGCTGCATGCAGTGGGAATAATTTCCTCAGTTTCCAGTCCCCTAGTGATTAGACTGCAACACTGAGACTATGTAACAATTCAGAATGTAAGATGCTGCACTGAAGACTGATCCATTTCAGACATTTGTGTACACAGCCAAAAACTTTACAAGTGACAAGATTAACTTGATCATAACATTTCGGGGCCAGCATCTCACTACAAGAAGTAAATGGTGGATAGTGCCTAAACAAACACCGCTCTGGGGTGGGAGGGAAGCAGAGGAAGGTATTGTCAGGGAGCATGCTGTGATCTCTGTTCAATGTAATAAATAGTGATGTGTTACACTTACACATAGCTTAGCATACATGCATTTAACTGGTTCCAGATACTTTGTATAACTATAACTGTTTTCATTGTCAAATGTTATTTTGTTGTAGGTCTTGAAACGGGAATTGAAGGATAAAGAACAGACTGTCCTGAATACCATAGAACAAGCACGGATTTTTATTTCTGAGCAGCCTATTGAGGGCCCTGAAGAACCAAGACGGAACTTACTCCATAAAACAGGTTAGGCACTTTCTTTGTACATCACTTTGTATAGTATCTTCAGAGTTTGTGTTCTTTAACTTTTTTTTAAAAGCTAGAAATACCGTTAAATTTACTCTTTGATTAAATAAATAATTAGCCTGTCAAAGACTTTACGAGAACAGTAAATTTAGAGTGGCATCAGGGACAATTTCCAGTTGTATTGAACCTCTTGTAACATTATACTTTCACCTTACTGTGATTTATGCCTGTAGATGCATTATCTGAAGTGATCTTTCAGGAATGAAAGAGCTTAAATCTTGCTGGTATGCAGTGACGACCTTCCTGAGCTTTAACACTCAATCACACTCTTCATGTTATCGGCACAGTGAAATGTTACTTGCACTGTTCATATCAGTCTATATATTGCAGACTCAGTAGTTCTAAAATAAAGGAATTGTCACTTGTCCAATACACATCAGTACTCTTACTCGTTTGTCCAACCAGTGGTCAAATAAATAAATGAATAAATTGTAGCTACAGTGAAGGTCATAGAATAATATTAATTAACCACTTCAAGACCAGGTGTTTATACCCCCTTCCCGGCCAGGCCATTTTTCAGTGTTCAGCGCTGCGGTACTTTGACTGACATTTTATAGCATTTTTTGGGGACAGATAGAGCTTTCTTTTGGTGGTATTTATTCACCACTGGGGTTTTTATTTTTTACTATATTAAGGAAAAATTATTGAAAATTTTGAAAAAAAAGATTTTTTTCTTCATTATGTTAGGAAACAATGATTATTACCCATATTTTTGATAAAATATAAAAGACGGGGTCACGTCGGGTAAATAGACACCAAACATGTCAAGCTTTAAAATTGTGCGCACCCGCGAAATCGCAAATAAAATGCCATACCCAAAATTGACCATAGGCGGCGCTTTAAAAGCTTTTACCGCTCATCAGTTTAGTGTTATGAATGATTGCTCTCATTCCGATGTTCGCGACTATATGTAACATGTGCGGCGCAATGGGCGCATTCGTCGCTGTCGCACGTATGCGCACCCGACGCCTGTTTGCATATGTGTATGTATGGGTGGGGACTTTTAAAAAAATGTTTTAATTCTTTTTTATGTGTAACTTTACATTTTTTGGGGGGAAACTTTAAAAAAATGTTTCCTATTTTTCCCCCACTTTATTGCTATTACATCGGGGGGCTAAGAAAACCTCCCTATGTGATAGCAAAAGATGTGACAGGTCCTCTTTATGGAGACATCAGGGGTCTCCAAGACCCCTAATGTCACCTAGGACCCCCCTGAAGAAGCTGATGAAGCAGAGGTAAATTGTAAATTCTCTCTTGTGAGCTACAGAACACCTTTCCCTATTTTAAGGAGACAAGAAAAGGGGGAAGTGTTCTGTAGTCCAAATTGGGAGCTAACAGCCTGGGGTAATAACACTGCTCCTCCATAAATACAGTCACCCTGGGACAGAAAGTCTATTATTGGCAGGATTCCCTGGTGAAAATAGAGGGGCTTAAGCCTGAAAAGAAGCAAACTAATGCAGCCACTACATCTAAGGCATAGTAAGCTGCACTATATTACATTTTTGTTCTTGGTTTTAGACAAAAAATGTAGGCGTTAAATCTAAAAAATACATGCAAGTAGCTTAACTATTAACACAAATGTAGTTTATATGTGTATCATTCGGCTGTAGATCCTCAAATCATCTCTGAATTGGTGCTGCCGCTGTCCTTCCTTCTGGAGAGTGGCTACATTTGTTCCCTATGGTCCCTGTGTGTGTTGTAAAGTACTCACGTTTGTTAGCTAATATACTGTATATTGAAGTTATTGTTGATCACGGAGCTTGGAGCGATGGCTACTTTATAACATACACACGGACCATGGGGAACAAAAGTAGCCACCCTCCAGAAGGAAGGACAGTGTCAGCACCAATTCAGAGATAATTTGAAGATCTACAGCGGAATGATACACAAATAAAATAAATTTTTGTTAATATTTAAGGTACTTGAATGCATTTTTAAGATCCAACTCCTGAGTTTAGTGTCACTTCAAAGGTTAAGGCTAGTTTATCTGCAATCAACTTATTTGGTTCAGTGACAAAAGTTTGTATCGGAAAAAAAGTAACTCTTCCTCTTTTAACCACCTCCTGTCCAGCGGCTGTACCTAAACGGCCAGACAAGAGCCTTGTAGATGCGGGTGGGCATTTTAAGACATCCTTCCCCACCCCCAATTGTGCTCGGTGCCCACGAATGGGAAAACTAACTAAACTCTAAAAAGCCGGTGATGCCTGTTTAAATACAAGCATTTTGGTGTCTGTAGAGACGCCCGATCACTCGTATTTTGTGCGGGTGTGCGCCCCCCAACACGCCACCGTCGGGCGGTCCGAGCTCCGCTGTGCCCGGTAAAATCACATCTTAAAAAAAACACACAAAAAGTCCCCTGCCCCCACATACACACGCAAACATGCGTTTGTAAAACGACTATTGCGCCCATTGTGCCGCACCTGTTACATATCGGATCTTGACCAACAATTCTAGGGCTCTCAATCACTAATAACACTAAACTGAACTAAAAGTTTTTAAAGCATCACCTATGGCTATGGCTTTTGGGTGTGATTGTTTTTTTTTGCGCACGCGCGCAATTTTAAGGCTTGTCATGCTTGGTGTTTGTTTACGCGATGTGACCCCATCTTTAATATTTTACCAAAAAATTGGGGAAATCATAAATGTTTCATAACATAGGGAAACTGTTTTTTTCCCCCTTTTTTGTTATATACCCTGTTTCCCTGAAAATAAGACTTTACTGCGCTGTCCACTGTCTGATGTCCCCACTGCTGCACCGCTGGTACCACTGTCCCTGATGGCAAAGCATGCCAGCGCTGTAGAAAGCAAGGCTGCGGTGGCGGAGGGAACAGAGCCGCATTAGCAGATACTTCCTCTATAGCGCCAGTTAGGCTGGGTTCACACCTGGGCGTTTTATAGCGCGTTCCTACACGCTGTAAAACGCTCAACATGTGAAAACCAATTATTGCCTATGGGCATGGTTCCCACCTGGGCGTTTTGCAGCGCGTAGGAACGCGCTGTAAAACGCCCTACGCCCAAAGAAGTACAGGAGCTTCTTTGGGGCGTATTTGTCGCGCGCATGCATTGGGATACAGCCAGGTAGCCCTCAGAAACGCGTGTTTGTCGTGCGTTTCTTTCACCGCAAATTGCGGTAAAAACGTGCGGCAAACGCGCATATTCCATACGCCCAGGTGTGAACCCAGCCTTACTGTGACAGGCGGAGTGATACCAGATAACTTTTGGATTGTTGTACATTTTGTTGCACAGTAAAAAAAATAAAAAGACATCCCCTGAAAATAAGACCTAGTGTTTTTTTGGGGGGCAAAAAATATATAAGACAGTGTCTTATTTTCGGGGAAACACGGTAGTAAAAAATAAAACCCCCAGTGGTGATTAAATACCACCAAAAGAAAGCTCTGTCCCCCCCAAAATAATAGAAAAATAATTTGGGTACAGCGTTGCATGACTCAATAAATGTCGAAATACTGCAGCGCTGAATACTGAAAGATGGCCTGGACAGGACAGACCCTAGTCTTCAAGTGGTTAAATTCCCTATTCTGTTTTTGCCCTAATAGCTCAGTGGTTTAGGTACTTGTTGTGAATAATTTATTTCTAGTTCAACGAGAACGAGATATTTTCCACTGCTTGATTTCTGCTTCCTTGGATTAAATCTTTAGGGAAATCTTACATTTATGTGCGTGGATCTGTACCAGCTACTATTTTAATCCTGTGTGTTTACTGATGCACTTCACTACAGCTATCTGTAGTTAGGTAGTTTACAAGAAAGCAGCCTCTACAATAAGGTTATATCACCGCTGCTTACAGCGAGAGTATGTTCTGACCTCTATACCAGACTTCCAAGACCAGCGTTGCTTCTCTGAAAGTGGTTATTATATTTTGGATATCAATATCTAGTCATTTCCATGGGTATATTGGTTGTGTTTAGTGTTTAAAGCCCATCAAGGCTTTGAGCCATTTCTTAACTAAAAAGGTGACTTGTAGGATGTACCCTTGGAGATACTTTTAATGTTTCTTTGAAGCATGTTAGGGACTTGTAATAGGAAGAAGATAAGTTAGTTTAACCAGCTTTCTGATACCTGATTCAAAACTGCGCAGTAAATGTGAAGCCAAAAGATACTGTAATTTGTCAGTCCTTCTCTTTAACTTTTATCATACTTTTTTAAAATAGCGGTAGATTGAACTGTTACAAACCTTTGTATTTGAATGAAAATTACTCTTATCAAAATGCTAATTAAATATTATTTTAAAGAAACATGTCACAAAAAGCTGACCAGAACCATGAGAGAGCAGAGTCTTGAAGGCCAAGCGAGTGGATTTTTTTGAGGAGCAGCGGGTGGTCAACAGTGTCAAAAGCAGTGATAACAAGCAAAATTTAGAAGCACTTGTTTATGTGCATAGAATAACAAACAGTAATGTTGGATCCAGGGCAGCATCGTTGATGGAGTTTACCTACCTCCTTCACTGAGAGGTTTTGTAAGGTAAGTTAGTGGTAGTGGTGTGCACGGGATTAAGCACTAGCCACAGTCTTTTCCCCACATGGGGAATGATAAAGGGTTTCTCTTGGATGAGTAGGTAGTTATGTGGTAGAGAGAGAAACTGCATGCAGGCTGTGCTGGAACAGCCTGTAGGTGTAAGCAGACATAATGATTTTTTGTTGTTGTGTATAAATACAAGCCATTACGTTGGAGCTCTTTTGATTTTGTGTTTGATGCAACTCTGACGAATAAACACAGGCAGTAAGCCCTTAAACACATTTTGGAGTCTGGACTACCCGCTTGCAATCTTTGTATCTGAAGCTGACCTCTACAGTTGGTTTTGCAACATTGTTGAGTCAAGTTGGAAAATCTCCCTGTGCAATAACAAGCGTCTCTGACTGCCTGAGGAGCTTGTGAATTATACTATCGGACAGCGATTCTCAAACTTTTTCTCCATAGGCCTCC